TTCCTGCAGTGCGTTTGCCATCCTGGGGAATCCAGTCGCTAACGGCTATTGTCCATCAATTGTCGTTTATACGCCTTGTGCTTCCGGTCCGTCTTATTCTTGACAGTTTATGCCTTTCATTTTTCATAGTTGACGAAGGTAGGAGTTTCGCAAGCCTTCTCTCATTTGTCTGATACATAACACTCCTGGCATGCTCCTTTCGATTGCGCGTCAAATATCTGAGTGATCTTTCATCCTGTCTACGCAGCAACCAGGTTTCTCCCGCATTAGTTAAAGCAAGAGGAATTGTGGAGGGCATGAAGTCGGATATGCTTTGTTTTTTTTTCACCACATCCGCGGTGCTCCTGAAATCTCCCAAGCCACTCGCTTCTACCTGATCAAGTCCAAAGTTAAGCTGTTCATCAAGTTGATTTCCCGAACTAGATGGTCGTAATTAGAGTGCTAGGAGGTGTTCATTTCACTGAGCATGAATGGGACATACAAAACTAAACCTTTTCTCTTGAACATCGTTTTTATGAGAATTAGTCGAAGACCAATCTTTCCACGGGCTTTGTCAAAGTTGGCAAGCATTCGTTCTAATTGGCTAATGTTTATTGTTATAAGAACGATGTCGTTAGCAAAGCGAAAATAGTGCGAAACCCTGCTTGCTCACATGGCTGTCCTTCATCCATTATCTTCTCAACCCTGTTTAGGCCGACTCGAATGAAAAGTTTGTAGAGGACAGACAGTAAGCAGAGTGGGTGATAGTTTCCGATATCGCGGAGGTCACCCTTCTTGGACAATAGCACGGTCTTGCTGGTTTACCACTGAGTAGGAACCCAGCATTTAGGCAGGTAACTTGTGAACAGCCGAGCCAATGTGTTTACGAGGACTGGCGAAAGATTCTTCAGGTGTTCGGATGTTATACTCTCCTGACTTGCTGTTCATCAAGTTTTCAGCGACTAATAACACGTCGAATTTCGGAAGGGGTGGTACAACATATCCATCCTTCTTTATTTCATATGAGAGCAGGAGAACGTGGCTATTGAAAAGATCCGACTAGTAACCGTGAATGGATTCCTCTATTGCCTTTTTGGACGCTGTAACTGTTCTGCCTGGGTGTTAGAGTGTAATCATTCTGATTTCGTAATTGGCGAAATTTTGGTGGGCTTTGCGAATGCTTTACCCAGCCTCTCCAGCTTCGACCATAAACTGTTGCTTTTTTTCTGTTCAAGATCTTCTTTTATCGTTTTTTTCACTGTTTTGTATGTTCTGGCTTGACTTGGCGGTTGCCTGTAGCCCGTGCGATTCCACGTTCGTATCCGCTCCAATGTTTCACGAGACAGCCGTCTCTTGGTGACTTTCGTACTCACAGCTTCCATAGTGCCATAAGTGAAGATGTTGAATGAGGCGATCGTGCATGCCTTGTCGATATTGTCGAAAACGACATCTTCGCAAAAGCCGACTAATGAACTGAATAAATGCCTTGGTATGGTGGATTTGAGACTTTGTATTTTGAATTTAGTGGCTTTATCTTCTTTTCGCTAGAAATGAAGCCTTGAATGAATGAGGCGATGGTCCGGCACCATGTACAATTTTGGGGGAACAGCGACATCGACTAGGCAAAACCTCTAGTTTACTATGATGTAGTCTATTTGGTAATGGCACTCTCCACTGAAGAACTCCCAGCTCCAATTTTGAGAGCGGGGCCTCTGATATTGAATCTTAGCGATGAAATCTCTAGTGATGAGCTTAAAGAATCTATGCTATTCTCTATAGAACTTTTCCAAATCCGTATGAAACACTTCGACTTCGTCTTTGTCATAGCTTGATGTCGATGCGTAAACGATGAACATTGCCAAAATTAGTACTCATCCACAACTCTTTAACCGCAGACGTCTGATTTGAGTTGTTAATTGTATCGAATGAATCGATGTTCACTGCCAAACTCGCGGTCACGAGAACCCCGGTGTCCCCGACTCTTCCACCGTCGCATGTTTTGGGCAGTAGTTACTCTCCGGTGTCACAGGCGGCGTTGATTAATTAGGTGGCGCCTACTTGTCTCAGCACGATGACATCGTACCTTACCCTTCCTGTCTCAGGTGCATGTATGCGTGCAATGCAAGTGCGGATCGTCACCTTAGTTCTTGGCGATCAGAATGTCTCTTAGATTTTAGCAGCCTTTCCGTACTTGACCTACTAAACTCTGCCGTATCGGAGTTTTTTCGGGATCAGGAGAGTAAGGCCCATATATCTTACTGCGTTCAGCTTTCGACACCCACGTAGGTAGCTTGCGAGTCGCATCTACCGTAGATGGGGAGCTTGCTTGTCGAGCGGTACTACTAACCGCCTCTCATATACTTCCCTGTTACTTAATTGCAGGCTTATGGCAGAATTGACTAGCAGAATACGCTCCGCATAAACGATGATACACCCGTAGAAGCATGCATGAATACATCCTCGCAAATACAGAAGGTATGTCCAAAATCGGCGCGGAGGAAACAGGAACTCCATCCACTGGATCTATCTGCGTCTCAGAGAAACAAAGGTCGCTTTTGGTTCGTGATTAACTCCCTATCCGCCACCTGGGGACGCACCACGTTTCCTCCCTACTATAAACCGGCACGAGATCCCTCTATGAAGGAGATATGTGGTTTTATCCTAATAAGATAATAAATCATTAAAGTGATCTATAGCGCGGATATTTACCTTAGAATGTCTTGGTGTTCATACATTGTTCGGTTCGTTTAGCAGTGTTGTTGCGCACGATTTATTTTTAAAAAAGAGTTATCGACACTGATGACCATGATTTCTTACTGTTATCATAAATGTTGTAGCCAAAAATACTTGCTTTACATTCCGCAGTTCACAATTTACAGTACGAAACCAATTTTTTTATAAACGTGAATTTGCAAATGGCAGTTCATTTTACCTTTTGTCATCAATCTTCGCAATCAGCAGTCATCAAAATTAACATTTTACCCACCATGTTAACTTTTTGTTCACTGCCTTTTACAATTTTTCATGGCAGGGTATTTTGTGTGATACAACCACAACGATGCTCAGATTTTTCCAAAACTCCGGACCGCAAGTGTCTGCGGTGAGAACGAACGCGTTATTACCTTTTCCAGGGTTGACGCATCCACCACTAAACCATGCGGGTCCTTCATTTCCCCTGTCTCTTAGTAAGTTCTTTATTTAACTTTTAGGTAAGGTATTTTGTGAGATACAACCACAATGATGCTGGTTAAAATTGTGATTATAACTATAGTCTCACCTTAACCGGGTTTAGTGCCTATTTGGGCTAACCAGATCAATCCTGTTGACGGGCGATCGCTTATGCCACTTGTCAATAGAAAACTAGCTAAGAGACAAGCGAAACAAAGGCCGCGCATGGTTTGGTGATGAACACATTAACCCCCGGAAAGGGTAATAGCGCGTTCGTTCTCCACCGCAGACACCTACGGCCTGGAGTTTGCAAATATCTCAGCATAATTGTGGTTTTATTTTACCTGCCCTTTACTATCCTATCACGGGAAGTATTTATAAATTAACAAATTTTGCACAGTACTAAAGCACACTGTCCAACTACTCACCACTGACATCGTGATCATCATCACATTCGCCCTCATTCCTCGCTTCCCGTTCTTCATTTATTCGTCGTTGACTCCTGAAGGATCATCTTTTATGTCTCCTTCGTTACTTCATTTAGATAACGATTTGACCCTATAGACCTTAAGCGGAGGTACAATTCGTTATCAGCCAACATAATTCAAGTTCATAAAAATTTAATTCTTGTCAAGTAAAATTCACCCATAGTAGTAAACGAGTGGGTTCACTGCAAACTCTAAAAGAGGAAAATTTTCTTAGAAGGTAAAAAATTGTGGAAAAATAAGCAGAGGAGGAGTGAAATGTAGAAAGAAGTGGGCGATAACAATCTTTGTTCCTTATATGCTGTCAGAACGGATCTAGAAGAAGCGTGTGCCTACAAAGATCATTGTGGAATGGGTGAATATAAAAATGCTAAATGAGATCCAATATTAATTGAAAGATGAACTTAGAAAAGCCGACAACATTTCGACTGGACGATGGGCGAAATTTTGAGTTTTGTTCTCTTCACAGCCAAGAGTTGAAAATGGTCCAAAAAACTTTAGAAAAAGCAGGGAAAATATAAGATACAGGAAGCACAGAAACTCTTTTCAAAGCGGCATAAAAGAGCGAAAAGCTGTTCTTTAACACTAAACTTTTATGTCTCCTTCATTACTTCATTTAGTTCTATAATCAATAAAGTCCGTAATACTTTTTGAACAAATTTCACTTCCCGAGGAGTGGGTTAATCTCGATGTGGCCGTAATGAATTGATTTCAATTCATACCGTAGTCGTCATTACGCAGGCATGCCATTTTAAACTAGGTGTTCGCCGCGTACACCTTATGAATAGGAATCTGATGTGACATTATTTTCTAGGACACAAAAACTTGAAGCTCTTCCTACTGGTTTAATTGATTAACGCGAAAAAGAAAATTTTGAACTATCCAAAAACATAACTACTATGATGCTGAGATATTTGCAAAACTCCGGATCGCAGGTGTCTGCGGTGGCGAACGGACGCGCTATTATCCTTTCTGGGGCTAATGCCTTCACCACCACACCATGCGTGTCCTTCGTTTCGTCTGTCTCTCAGCTAGTTCTATCGATCTTTTGCCATCAACAATCACCCGACGGGATTGACCTGGGGAGCCAAAATCGGCATCGAATCCAGTTAAGCTGAGGCTACAGTTATAATCACAATTTTAACCTTTTTTCTTAACCATATTTCGCAAAATACCGTGCCGTTAAAAAGAATAGGCAGTAAATAAAAAGGTTAAGATTGTGATTATCCAAAAACATGTGGTAATTTGAACATTATGGCACGATTCTTTTTATGGGATTGGTGCCTAATTCCATTAAACTCAAGGGTTTTCAGATTCGTCTGCAGTACTTTGTGAACAAATTTCACTTTCCGAGGTGGCACTTGCAGGATGCGTTGGCAAGTCACAACTATTTTACTGTGTACCTATGGATTTCTCAAAGAATTTCGTCCGTCAGAACCATATCTCTACGAATATGAGCACGTTACATTAAATATATCCGAGCACGTGTTAACTTCTCAAGTAAGTACTTATTTATCTCTCCTGTTGCTGCCTACTTTTTCCCATTCAATTTTTTGAGAGATCTGTCAAAATAGTAGCAGTTAAGCACCAATAACGCACTAGATTTCGATCATTCTCTTAGGGATGCGCTAAATGTTCGACTTCATCGTCACCTAGCATCATAGAGGTGTATTTCTTCTTAGTCAGTTTGATGAGTGCATGTAGCGCACTGGTTAGGTGTGACCTGCAATGCACATCTGATCGGTCGGAGGATCGATCTCCTGCCCAGAGCTAGGCAAGCCTTCCATCTCACTCCATAGTCGGGAAATTAGACTTGTTCGAGACCATAGCCAGGAAGTCTACCTAATTTGTAGCATAGTGAAAGGTACCGACTGCATATTTGGGCTATAAAATGACATGTAGTGCTCAGCGATTTATCAGTTGAGTGTTTCTATCCTTCCAGACAACCCTGTCACCACTTCCCAGATCACTGAGCGATGGAGAGATTATTATTATTTTTATTCAAGGTACTGAAGTAGCACATAACCAATGCGCGCTGTACGAGCCCTCTAAAATGCATTAGCGAAAATGAGTTTCTGTAAGAGAAACGCTTCATCGTGATAGGGTTAGTTTCAGTGAATGAGATCAAATATTCGATGTACTAAATGGAGCATAATTTGTAATGCAGTAGTTAGAGGTCCACGACACATATACGATTTTAGAAAAAAAAAGCTACACTCTGTGTAAGAAAGCACTCCGTTCCTTTCGGGACGTGAAATTTGCTACCACACTTGTTTGAGAGTATGATAACACTGACTTCATACATCAGTAAGACCCCACAAGTTGTTGTATAGGCAAAATATGTACTAAGTAGCTTCCAAGATGTAACAAATGAGAATACATGGCTCATCCGTAAGCGATTGATAGGTGCTTTATGTTTTCTTCTCCACCATTTATTATTTACATGTCGCATCAAAACAAAATGAAGTGCTTAAGCTCTCTATGTCAGGTATATCCACTTTGGACCTACAGCTATACGCTTTCGCTGATACCGGTATTTCTAATTGCTGATCTCATCTTGTACAAATCAATGATCATCTTCGAATCCTTATCCTATATTGCTGTATGGGTCATGCTAGTATTCTGCGGATCGGTTCTTTCTCAACAAGTGATCATTTCTTCATAACAACATTCTAACAAAGAATGTTTCTTCTTTTTATTAATAATTCTTTCTCTCAATTTATTCTTTCCGTAATTTAGATACTGGAAGTTTTCTATGGTTTTGCTACTGCCACTGAAATAGCGTATTTTGCGTACATTTACGTAAAAGTTTCTAAGGGAGAATTCAAAAAGTTGGTTTGTTGTTTCCTTTACGGTTGTTGGCCATGTTTCTGATGTAAAAGTTATGCTTAGAGGTTAGAAAAAACCGGATAGTACTAGATAAAAGGATAAAGCTCTCGGCGTTGATCAATCCTTGCGAGGGATGCGCCATGCATTCTACTTTATCAAGCATCGTTTGGAAGTAAACCTATCGATGTATCGAGCCAGTGCTGCTATCCTCACAGACAAGTCTGGTACCAGTTTGCCAACCCACGAGGGATGGAAGACTTGGTGGGCCACGTGGGCGCGGGGATCGATTCCACGTGTGTGCTGCAAGGCACCTCCGACCACTGCGCGACACGCGCCGTAGTAGTACTAGATAAGCAAGAAGAATCAGAGGTGATAGGTGGGGAAATCATAGAAGTTGAGCAATCAAGTAGGCTTGCAGTAATATCTGACCGTTACCTGTTCCCTAGTACTATCCAAATGTTCCCTAACTAATCCTAGTTTTTCTTTTCATGTTTCTCTTTCTCATCGTCATTTCACTTAGGGTAACGACTTATGTTCGTGGTGCTCTTCTGTTGGGTAGATTTTTGTCTTATGCAATTGGCCAACTGCTTATTCTCTTAAAATGGGCAACATATTGGAGTCTAAACATTATTTCGTTGGTATTTCTCTGTCTGTCGCTTATTTTCGCAGCTTCGATTCCATCTGTTTCCTGGAAAATGGCTTATGAAAAGAAGGTTGCTACAAGAGGTGAATTACTGTATTGATTCAGAAAGCTTATCAGTTCATGACAATAGATAAGCATTTCTCAAGAATAATATAACAGAATCATATAGAAAGAATAATTTTCGTATCTTTTACTCTTAACTCTCTTTCTCCTAACCATACACGAACACTTGAATAGTCCTTACTCTCAAATCACGAAAAAACCGCTCAGGCTTCGGCACAATCACCATTTGACTGATGATCTGTTATGTAGACAAGATATTCTTTCGTGGAGTCCCGAGAGTCGTGCTAGGGTTTTCCCAGATCGCGATCTGACCTCTTGCGAGGTCGTGGCTGTGATCAGGGTGGCAGTAACTATCGGCCCTGCTTACTTTTAAATTGGTTTCGAAATGGAAATTTCGGGTGCCTTCAGAGTTTGGAAAACTCTGTCGCATGGATTCTCCTGCTCTCATAATGGTATGCAGTCATAGAGAGATAGAAAAGTTTTGGGGTCACTAGATGCAATTATTCAATACTTAGGCTTTTATGGAAACATTAGATTCGAAGGCAACCCTGTGAAAATCGTCACAGTTTACTGGATTTTAGTCCGTGCTTAGCTAACTAAATGTTCGGAATCTAAAAGACGAATGAAAAATGAAGTGTAGGTTTCTCATGGCGTAATATTTACCAGTTTTTAGAGTTAAGAGAAGGTACGAAATCTGTGGACAGTGCGCCCACATATAAAAAGTTCGCAATACTCCACTTTAAGACACTGACTGAAGAGCTAAGAAAAGTTTATGGGAACACATTCATGATGAAGTGGTCGATGTGGTGGGCACTAGCGACTTGTGCCTATTTTCAGGTGATCAACCTATTCATTATTCATTAAACATATCGGTCTGAAGAAAAAAGAAACGACATATGAATATTTTTGTTCTGAGCTTAATGTCGTAATTCTTCATCGATATTTTATTTGAAGACAGAAGTGTTATTTAGGTTGGGAATTATGTACAAACACTCTGGGGTGCAGTTATTGATGTGAGTGATGTCGACGTCTACAATGGACTTACAGAGGCACTTTGCCCACTAGTAGGTGCGAAGCGTTTAATAACACAAAAACGGAAATCAGTTGACAATTTTCACTTATTTATATGAGCCGTCGTCATATATTCTTTTGATCCTGTCACTTCTTCCATTGGGTTCGTTGCCTTATTTTCGCCATCCAGGAAGGTGTTCGCAAATCCATGTTGCCGCCTGAAGATTTCATCCTCTTCATGATTGTGACTGAATGTTGGTCGAGTTGTTTCTCTCTAAAATACTCGGATAGCTCGGATCGCCGGGCATTGTAGATTGCAAGTAGTTTCTCCAGACATGTCTGATATTAGTTCGTCAACTCTAAAGTGATGTGGACTTTGTTGATCAGGGGACGGCAGGGACGAACCATTAGTAGTATAGAACGTGTTTCGCCAGGCATCTCTAACCACTGAGCTTCACGAGCGTAAGTGAAGCGTAGGCAGAAAAGTAGCTCAAAATCTCATACTTAATAGGGTGTCAGTCCAAAAATCACTCGAAGTACTTTGCGTCTGAGTTCTCTATCCTCTTTTTTCACCGGTGGTGTGGTGAGATTACTCAAAGTGGTGTTGGAGTAGGTTCAAGATGAAACACTAAGAGGTTTTCTTTTTTTGCAGGTGTTAAAATCTTTTTAAGAAGCCGCTTACTCTCCTTCATACCGCAGTTAATATAAACTTTTCATGTGTTGATTTTGCAAAGAGCTTAAAAGACTGAACAACTGCTGATTAAAAGCTCGTCTTGGAACTGTTTTGTCACGAAATTGAATAGGGTTTGATCGAAAATACTTTCACTCTCAAAAAATTTGGGATTTTGCTCAACGGCTTCCGCATCACCAGCTAAGTAACACCGGTGGCAAATGAGGTGAATTACATTCGGATCTACAACGACGTGCTATGATAAAGAGAGTGCCATATTAATCCAAGCGTCAAAAGAAGGAAGCTGCTTTGTAAAATGTCACTGGCAGTCATTGAATTGATAGCGTATTCCACTATAATGAAACAATGATGTGACGACTCTTATAAATTCTTGTCAAGACAAAGGCTAACAACTGAAAGTAAAGAGATACCATGTGGAGTTCTATCTGCGGGTATACCAGAAGCCATAAAGAATGAAGAATGGCATTGATTCACAAATGAGCTTCTCGAGAAATCTTCACACATCTCTCCTCAATCTTCGTGGTTTAGGTGTAGCATTAATGACATATTAATGTAGAGAAGAAATGATTGGTCGCTGGTTGAACTAGCTTGTTCCTCATGAAAAAATTAAGATGGGACCATCCTTGTAACCTTTGTCAGATGTTCGTTAAGCCAGTTTGACAACGTTGGTCATCGTGACATTGCACAAGCAATAAAATCACTTTCTCAGCATCATAGATGGAGAGCAAAGAAGAGAAAAGTTTGAGACCTCAAATCAAAAAGTGAGATCTTTTAATAAAATTTCCTTTAAAGAGAAGACATTTCAGAAGTTAGTAGTATGACTTACTTTGGATCAGTGTGCTGTACGTGTTATCTCGGTGTACAAAACTAATTAGACCGCCAATTGTTATTTATTCAAACATCTTTTGCCGTACTGTTGTCGTACTGTTTTCTTTACAGCCCTTCCTGCAGTGCTTCTCACAAGACATCTTGTCGTTAACTGGTCTAAGTGGGGAGAATTGTGTCTGGCTGCCTGTTCATTTGTTGACTGTGCTATTCTTTTGTTGATGTCACAGACGGATAATCTTATTATCATGTACATTGGATACATCCTATACCATCTTCTTTATGAGACCATGATTACCATCGCACAGTAAGTGATCATAGATTGCACAACTAGCTCCACAAAACAATTCTTTTTTGGTAGATTCAAGTTATTTTAGACTACAATGTTTTGACTTCTACTGCCTATTCTTTCTTCGTGGCAGTGCACGATGTGTAGTATGACCACAGGGATGCTAAGATATGAGCAAAAGTCGGGACCTCAGTTGGGTTTCGAACCTGGGATTACCTTTAGAAGGGGCACTGAAATCAGTTAAGCTGAAGCTGCAGTCGAAACCGTATTGCTTAACTTTTATTTACTGCCTATTCGTAAAAGTAAACAAAAACTAAACACTATAATTTGTACTGCGGTTTCAGATTAACTGGGTTCAATCCCAATTTCTGCTTCAAAGATCATTCCCGTTGACGGATGGTTGCTGATAGCACTGTTAAAGAAAAAAAATTGTCTAAGAGAAAGTCAAGGCATGGATCTCGGTTGGTGTGTGGATAGCATGAGAGGTCCCGGTGGGGCCTATCTCAGCTTCGAAGCCCAACTGATCTTCCAGGTTTTGCTCATATTCAGCATTCTCGTGGATAGTCCAAAACGGTTAATATTAGCAGACTTCGTGAAGAGAACAGTATAGCTTATGTTAATTTTAAGTATCATCACTGCTTGTACTACTAGTAATCATGTTGGTCGTCAAATTGATCGAGTGGACGTTAGTAATGTCTTAAATTCTCTCTGTGAAGTGTTGCATTTGCCAAATAGGCTGCTTCGTCTCGAAGAACGTGAATAGTACCAATCGTCATGCGAAGATGTGCAAAATCCTAGTTTCCTGGATTTTTTTCTTCATTAGCTATTCGGTCGTTCACACGCACCTTCGAACTTTGTCATGATATATTCTTTCTTGACTAGGTGATTCGTTTGAAACAGCATTGTCGTCAAGAATGTGATTATAGTGAAGGTGGCATATCATTCATTCATATTTATTCTCATGTACAAGAAATAACTCTACCTGAAGTAACTGGTAAAGCTATGCAAAACGATTCAATATTTCCTTAACAAAAAAGCCTAAAGTTTACTGTGAGAGAAACCAGTAGTATAGCCGTGTTTGTCTAAAGTAAGGATAAAGCACCTCTTCCGGTAGCATAAGAAGAGTCTTGTCGCAAACGCTGTTTAGAAAGGGGCTGCTCGTATAACCTCATCTAGGTGCATTTTCAGTTTTCTATATTTGGAATTGCTTCGCTGATTAGTAACAGGCATGGGAAGTTTTCATTGAGAACAACGAGATATACGTTAGGGAGAAATACGGAAGAAGAATTCAAATGGAAGAACCATTCCTCTTGAGATGCGATAGAGGTAGAGTTGGTATACTCATCAGTGCGAGTGCGACCACGATTGTCGATTTTTTTTTTGAACATCGAGTAGCCTGAATCGTATGTTGGCTAGCGACAAAATCTCCATCAATGGCAACATTGAAAGTTTTCACCACGTAAGCCAAATACCACAAATACAGGATGGGTGAATCGATGTACTTGAAGTGATGCAGCAAAAACTACACCTTTACAGGGTCACCACCAGCGATTTTGATGCAATGATGAGTTTCAAAATAGTATGAAAACTTTCCAAATCGATTGTCATTTAACCTCTGTATGAATGATCAATTTTATCGGTAAGCTAACACGAGGTTGATAAACAGTTTTATTCGGCTAACGTTTCGACGTCTTCGTCTTCCTCAGAGGCGATGATCCGAGTCGATGGTCCACAGTGCTTCGCCTTCTCGATGAGGTGTCTTCATCTTCTTATGGAGTCGGATCTTCTCAAGTAGAGCACCGCTCGAATGAAACCTTACACGCTGCTCTTTTTTATAGAGGACGGTTGTTGTTGATAACGATTGTCTGCTAATAATAATTTGCTTTTCAATTGACATCCATCCTGCAGCAATACGTATTACATTAGTTAACACGTAACGAATAGATAATGAATATTTTTCAACCGAATCGCCATTTAAACTTCCTACAATTGGCTTTCAAGAGAGTGTCTGAAGGAATATACCCGACCTTACGGACTGGAGTGAAACGAATACAGTGATGTATTGTTTGACTTAATCAACATCTGAGGGCCCAGAGGATCCATAAAAGGTTATAATTCTAAAAGCTCTTCTGTGAGTGTCGGAGTTGGAATATACATCAGTGAAGAACATTGAAGTGAAATTTACTTGTTCTTTGTAAATCAAAACTGTCACCAAATCCCATGGGGCTGTTTCTAGTCTTGTTAGCAGAATCGCCTCCTTCACTCAATATGAATCATCTAGTAGAAAGAGAGGAGTGCCGAAATATCCAAGAAATGGAAATTCACAATTCATAAGCTGAAAGAATCTATTACCTCAAAATTTGAATGAACCCTGCACAACCCGGTCAGTTTAGGAAATCTGGAAAGGAAAACTCTATTTATCCGTCACATTTTTATCATCTTGGTAAAGTTTATAGTAGGTTACAAACTTTATGAATATCACTACAGATTCAATTTGGCTTGTGCTTTGGAGAACGACTCGTATGGTCTCATATTTGGGATAAATACATTTGTCGCTCTTGTATTACAAGCGATACTCACACTTATCGTCACTTCTCCTGCTGGCCTAGCGCTCACCATTAGACCTCAGGTATTCTAAAGAGTATTCGATTTTCTAAATATTTATTTCGTTAAGGTTTTCACGTGAGATGTGAATCGGTGGTGTGCCAAAATGCTTACATATAAGAGTGAAAGAAAGGTGTCAGGAATGAGATTTCTTATCTTTGCCACACGAACGGTGCTAAAAAACAAATGGAAACTGCGCCTAAACATCGAACATCAGGGCCACTTTCTCTCAGTTTTCGCCTTTTTTGAAACTTCTGGAGTTCGACGACATTATCTGGAAACCAGTTATGAGGAAATCAGTGGAGAAAGTCCCGGAAGAAACACATTCGCTATCTTGCAAATTTTCCACCGATCCAAAGAACCCAGTGTCTTTTTGTGATGACGGGAATGGGAGGTTGTGGTTTAGATTTTATTCTCATTCTAAAGAATAAATATCGCTAAAATAGCTGATTATCTTTCGTACGGTATTGCTGGATCACAAATGATCGTTCGTGAAGATGGACCATTCAGACACAACTCCGTAGGTAATATAGGTAAACCCGTAAATCCGTAGGTAAAACTTGTCAATTCATCCTCTTCTTCTACCCTGGAGTTTTTGGAATTGTTTAAAGTTCTACAAAATTGTTCGCTGTTATTGTCGGACATGGTGACCACTGTATGATCTTCCGGGATATCCTGTTAACACTGCAGGCATGAATATCCGCAAGGGGAGTCACCTAAAAGCGCCACGTCCATGTTCAGCGATTTGATTGCTTCCATCCAACGTTCATCTCCATTATTTATCAACTGAGGGTAAGCCTTTTAGTCCATACCAATATGGAAACGTTTGTGATAATGGCTATGTCGAATATCAATCGGTTAACTATAATTCCTTGTGCTTCGACAAGAGTTCTCCATGATGGTGCTCTTTACCTTTTTATATTGTTGTTTCGATTCTACCGTTCTCTTTGACTACTTCGATAAAGTTCGAGGTTCGAGCCATGTTCTACATCGCTTTCTTTTGATATTCATGAAAGACCACGCCACTCTATGTCAGCAAGATGAATTGAAAAACTAACGCTATATCCATTCCACTGAGATGGAGCTGTAACTGCGTATTTCTCCTTGTAATCACGACAAACCCACTTCTCGACGTTTCTTCTGACAGGACGATGGGGATTATTTGCAAAAGCTTGCTGTATGCTGAGCGTCAAAAACGATGAAACTCTTCCTCAGCTTAGGTGAACTTGCTGAGCTAGTAATCTCCGGTATAGATTGCAGTTCAACAGCTAGGAACACTCCAAGTATAATGAGGCGGGAAACTATTGTGGGCAGCGCAATTCGACTAATCAGTTTTTGATCTTAAAAATACATATTCAATTTATATTTTATGGTACTGACGTTTTTAACATTTGCATTTGCTATCCATCCATTTTCTCTTGAAGATGTTTGCTCACCTATGACATGGACTAATGGGCTCACTTCCAGAAAATTTTCTACCTTTCAGTAGTTTTTCTGTACTGTCAGAAAGCTGTTCGAAAAGGCTTACGAAGTTGATTGTACTCACTCGACATAAGAATGATATTCTTTAACCAGGAAGTGACGAAGATAATCTGGGTTTCACCGGGGAGCTTACTAATAACTATTAAACAGGAGCACTACCTCCTCGTCAGTGGACAAATTTCCATTTTATTTTATATTCGCTAACATGAGTGAGACAAGTGTAAGTATAATGTTGATTTTTCATTTACTGCCTTTTACTAGCATTCATGGCAGGGTATTATTTGCGAAGCAACCACAATGATGCTGAGATTGAGATGGGAACGTTCTCCACCGTAGACACCTGCGGTCCGGAGTTTTGCAAATATCTCAGCACCATTGTGGTTATGTAAGCATATTCAATACTATTTATTTCTGACTACGTACAAAGATCACCATCTTATCTTATGCAGACATGTTTACTAACAACTGATCAACGCCGAGTGTTCTGGGTTAGAAGGATAACCGTTGGAATTGTTTGTGTTAGAGAGCACCGATGGCACCTCATTAAACTGTACTAAAAATATCCGATTCGTATTTAGGAAAGGATTACTAGCACATTAAACAACAAAAGTCTTTTTTCAGTTTGAAGTCTACTCCGGTTTTCACCTCGCGGTGTCGATGATATTCATCCAACCACCGCTCTATCGACTTATGAGGAAAATGAAAGCACTTTGCTGAGCAATCTACGGTGTTGATAGCAATCCAATGTATTTTATTTCTTCATAGAAGCATATTTGTTTAACGTAAGAAATAATGCACATGACCGTTTACGTTTAGTGTCATAAGCCAATGTACATTCGCCTTATTACTGCTGTAATAACATATGTTGTTTAATGAACAGCTGAAGAACAACAGACCCAATGTTTTCGTCGACTGAAAACTCTGAGACAGTGATATTTCGAAACCGACTTTCTCTAAACCTCGGTGTGACTAATCAATATGTATTCTTTCTTGATAAGCTTGCACGAGGTTGATATATATATTTATTTTCGGCTAACGTTTCGACGTCTTCGTCTTCCTCAGAGCCGATGATCCGAGTCGATGGTCCATGATTGTTGTTCGTCTCGACGTTGCAGCTTCGCCTTCGTGTCGAGCCAGGTCTTCCTAAGTGATCTGGGACAGTGAACTTGTTTGTGATTGAGCAGTAGACTTCACAACGTTGCAGTTTAACTGTTTGTGAACGGATGACAGCACCAACGAGTTGTCGGTCAATGATTGTACTCACAGAAAACATCTCCACTCACAAACAGTGATGATACCTTAATGCTTTACCACCATAATGTAGCTAGCTGATGTTCTTAGGCACTTAAATGCAACTAAGCACTTGAATGCAAGGTTGGTACTGCAAAGCGAAGTTTAATCACTCAGCCAAGGTTGACGAAGACCAGAAATCCAATATCCATACCTGGAGTATAGCTAGGAGTAAGCTAGTACAAGGGACTGTCACCATTCTTTGGAAATAAATCTAGTTTCAGTAAGGCGAATCTTCATCCGATATACGACCAATGGTGATATCTTGTATTACCAACGTGAGTACGTGCTAGCACAGATTTCTGAAGACAGCGTGGAAAATTGTCGCGATACCAGCAATTATTTAGGTAATGGATATTTTACATGACTCGACATCACATGTTATGCAGATATCAGCAGTTCTTATCTTCAATCCGGCTCATCACATCAGTTATGCACAAAGGTCATCGATTGATTTTTGGTTTCGGACGGCAGCTGAGGATTTTCTCTTCCCTCCATATGTCATTGAATGCCGGTCGACTCCCTTTTCCTTGCAATCCTGCGTTTAACGTACTAGGATCTTCCTACGTGGAATAGAGGGGGTGAGTTGATCCCAGACAAGTCTGGTATTAATTTCCTGACGGCGCAGGATAGGAGGATTAGTGGGCCCACTGTCAGGTCGAAGCAACGCTTAAGTAGATTGCCCCTTCAGTGTAATGAACGACCCACTACCTTTGTGCTACATGCTCCCTAACAGAGCAATTACCAGAAAGCGAAGTGGCAGATATTACTGGGTATTTTTAGACATTAAATGATGCGGTTTTCGGTTTTCAACCACGATACTTACTTGATACTTAGAAGGCCCGTCCTCACTGGTTGTGCGGGCCCCAGCCTAATCTCCATTTTTAGGAGATTTGCTGGTTAAGTCATTGCGTTTCTCTGGAATCCTGAGGTCAGGCTGGCCAAAGTCTGCTTCAGGTCTTCACCACCAGAGGCAGTCGCAGCCCTTGTAGATCATAGGGAGATTTACCACCATGCGACTTTGATACGGTGGTGGATCCTGGTATTGGTTTAGTCTTAGCTAGGCTTCCTAATACAGACACTGGACCCCTTCTCAGCTTGGCAGATCCTGCCAGAGAAATGAATCCCCGCTGTACATCGCACTCCGATACCCAAAAACACCTCCCAGCCACGATGAGGCGGTAAACCGTTGGGAGGTTAGTAATAATCTAATAACGATGCAATATTGACAATGCACGAATGTGTTGTCTGTTGCATACAATCATGATTCCGTCATCTCAGCGTTAACGACTAATGTTAACAGTTATTGCTAAAATGAAAAGGAGCAATTTCTGTTAGCGCATAGAGATAGTGGAGGTCACTGACAATCTTGAACTTCGTAGAAGCTCAGAGGCAGAACGTAAGAGAACGATGGAATTCCTAAGAAGTTAGTGATTTTTATATAACAATCAAGATCTGATGGTCTTTTAAGAAATATTTATTTATGTGATCTTATAAACTGATCTTCTTAAGCTGACGCGAGGTTGGTACAGATCTTCGTTGTCGTTGTTTTTGATCTTATTGATCGATGGCTGACGTTTCGGCGACTTCGCCTTCTTCAGAACCGTGATGTTACGTGTGGGACTGGCCAATGCGGGAGAAGATAAGATCACAGAAATAAGTATATCAACTATCTATGCCGAAGTTTATAGAAAGTTGGTCTTTGCGTCTTCTAAGAATTCCTAAATCGACAACTGCACCAATGATTAGCTAACAAGCTCTATAAGATAGAAGATAATCTCAATAGGCCTACTTGTTATATAAAACTTTAAAAAAGTGTCTACTTTCAAATCCTTACAACTCTCGAGTTTTAACAAAATTCGACTTGTCATTCTTTCAATGTGCAATGCAGAATTCCATAAGCAGCGACTATAATCCTCGATAGGAAAATGTCAAACGGCCATGGTGATATAATAGGATGGGTCCCGGTGATACTCACCACTCAACTCAAAAACGATTATTGGCAGGAAGTGCTCCATTCTTTCTCAGCTTCGGAAGGTTCCTTGAGCCTTCCTAAAATCATTTATGTTCACGCCAACGGTTTTTTAACTCAGCCGATTTCGCCAATGTAGTTGACGCATGTTTATTCGAGTATTCGAAAAATCAGCACCCATAAAATGTGTATGGCGGCAATGCAGGAACGTTGTGAAGCGAACAATGTACAGTAAGTGGACGTTTCTTTCTTTCGGAATTCAGTGGCGAGTGACCGGATTGCAGTGAAATCCTGGCGAGTTTGTCACTAATACGCCATGTGCTTTCCCGTGAAAATGACGAACTATTAAACGGTTGAGAGATCGCCGTTCTAAACAGAACATTCTATTAAGAAAATAAAGAAGAATGTTAAATTCTTGCCTGTGGCTTACTTGCCTGTCAATTTCGGGTTGATTCTCCATGCCATATTGGTAGAGATTACTATGTCCACATAATGATTGAGACATTTGAGGGGCACAGTAACATGGAGGTATACTCGGTGGTATAGTGTAATCACGATGAGAACTATATCCACACCGACTATAATATCCTGGTGGGTATGGTGTCATTCTAAATGGATTTGGTGGTATACATGGCAAACGCAGAAAATGTGCGCTGGAAGCTGGTTTCACAGTCAGGATTAGATTAGCCGAGTTGGCGATCATGACATCAGTGACTTGGTCCAGTGTCTTACCTGATACCTGAACAAATAATAGATTATCAGTAAGCTTAAGTTCAGCATACTACACTTATTTATTTAGTGGCATGTAAATTTCCAACATATGTTGTTGTTCCTGGCAATGAATGCAAACTGTTTGTAGTACAACCACAACGATGCTGAGATATTTGCAAAACTCCGAACCGCAGGTGACTGCGGTGGGGAACGAACGCGCTATTACACTTTCCGGAGCTAACGCGTTCACAAGCACACCATGCAGGGTCTTCGTTTCACCTGACTCCCAGGTTTTTTATGGCATGTTTGTAATTTTTTCTAGTATTTTTTACTTTAGACCAATTCACACCACATCCAATGCAGATTTCAGCACATCTTGTATTCGATTCGTCTCCTCGCATTTTAACGGATCTCATCGGATCTACGAATGCCTGCTGATAGATTTTCAGTTTCCCTTATAAATGTCGTTGAATGATGGCCGCGTTGATTCTTCCTAGAAAACCGGAATGGCCGAGCTGGGACGTTCCCATGTCCTCACCATATGCACTAGCCAGCGTTCGTGAACTGGAGGAAGTTAACCGATCCAAAACAAATCTGACACCAATTTACCGAACCCAAAAGAATGAAAGAGTTGGTGCGATGGAGCGAAAGCCTTGCTCGTCCTAAATGGCATCACTAGCATTGCACTACCTATATGTTTGTAAGTAGTAGTTTAAAAGCGTCTTTTCCCAAACATTTAATTAACTATGAAAACTAAAAGAAAAATTTTCATTTAGCAAGGAATTCAAAAAAGGGCAGCAAAAGTTCCTGGTCTCATACTAGGCATTTTGGAGAAAATAAAAGAAAGGAGAAAGAAAAACTGCGAACTGACAGAAGCGATAAAACTTCCAGAAACATTAAGGTAATCCTGGGATGAAATACTTCGAAACTATACAACAGGATCTTACTTCAATGCCATTGACTTCAATGATTTCATCGTTCACGTTGAGAAGATTAGTAGAAGCGGCGAGACCGTTTGGAAGAAGCCGAGAGATAAATATTCCCGGAGCAGCAGCAATACCCCAAGGGGTCATCCGCTCTGATACACCTAAAGCGGCATCTTTTTTTCTCCACTTAACTGAAAAACCATCCTTAGATATTTCACATTTCATTTTATTACCACACCCGTTTATACAGTTCTCTGTTTATTGGACCAGCGGGAAAACAATGTAGACCATTGGGAAAACTATTTGCCCATTTTAAAGGATTTATAATACTGAAAAAAGAGCATCTAGAGAAATCTACGCACGAGAAGACTACGGTGTTACCCACCTCAGAGAGTACTTGCACACGTTCGTTTACAAGGAATGATGGATGACCCCGTGAAACGTAAGTTATTATTGCCTAGGTTAAACGACAGTCAGTTCAAAAAACATTCTTTAACAACACTGTTTTGGTAACTGGAGGTGTTTGGAGAGGTTATTTGCAGTCAACCTAACCTCCCAGGCTCTGGGGGACGAAATCTGCTTAAACGCTGGTTGTTGTAAATAAAATATGCGATAACAACCTAGTGCGTGCCAATCAGGAAAATAGCAAGTTATTCATCACTGCCAAGGTTAACAGAAAGTCGGTCTTGGAAAGAAGTAGCATCTGGGAATTAAAAAACATTTATTCTTTCTGTGCTACCTAGTATAATACCGACTTCTACATTGCCTGCCCAAAAGTAGATCGCATTAGATTGTAGTAATCGATGCACACTCGTGAAAAAGGGCGTCGCCGAAACGATTCGAGCATTGCTCCTCTACTGGATTCGACTCGTTGCGCTAGCTGTGGACCATCTACTTATTAGTCCTGCTCTGAAGAAGACGAAGACGTCGAAGCATTAGCCGGGTAAACCTTTTATTAACTTCATCTTAGTATAACAATCCAAAAAGGTATTGAACAAAAATTAGTTGACAGAAGCCATCTAAGCCGTGACAGATTATCCACTTACTGCTTCACCACGCACAAAGGAAATGATTCATCACCAATTTATTAACGGAAGATTAGAATATGACGGTTTACCACACCAACTGCGTAGTGCTTTCGGGCCGCTATGGGCAGAGCAACGTGTACAGCTCTGATTTGAGCCAACGCAGCAGAAAGTTTTTCTGTGCAACTAGCAAAAATGACTTCGCAATCTCTACTGGGAACTGGTGTCGGACAGCACGTTAGTTAATGCCGACCAGGTTCAGCACCTGGCTACTTAGATAAGAGAGAACTGGCTCGAATATCTCCTCTTCACGAGCACATCGACAGTCCGCTAGTAGTGTTGGAAGCGTTAGATCGAAAAACGGCCGTACAGAAAACGTTGTTCTCTCTAATTCCCATATTTTCCAAGCTCAAAAAATTCTTTTAGAAGCAATTTACTGCGACGACTTTGACAACTTCAAATAGGACTCGAGCAATTTTTCGTCTCACAGGAATTGCAGTACGGGGGGAAAAGTACGAGTTTCTGGCTAGCTAACCTTTGAGCTGAAGCAATCGATAAGTAGGTTGATTAACTACATATTACAGTAAATTTTTGATGCCAAAATGAGGAGCGTGAAAAAGCTCAGCCTGTTGAGGTTTGTGCACTCCGCTCACTTTGGAACTGAACCGTCAGGAACGCCACTTTCCCCTTACTGAGTGAGAGTGCAGCGCCAAACTAGTTGCGTTGAAGCATAAGTAGTTTATATAATTTAGTAATTTTCTTCGTATTTTTGTTGAGCAAACGCGAGGTGTTACTTTTCTTTGTTCACGATTAAGCTGACGTTTCGGCGGATTTCGCCTTCTTCAGAGCCTAAAAAGGTCAAATTGGTAGCAATCCACTCGGCCAGACGCCTCCATAACCAAACAAAGAAACCCCAAACCAAGATTTCAATCACTTTGAACACAGCTTTGCATACTCACCGCTTTCTATGAGGTTTCCACTAAGTATGTCACGTAGAGACCAACCGCACAGAAATCACGTGGAAGTATAATGTGCCCCACTCATCAGAAAAGCAGTTTTATATACTGCCCTATATCACGCGTGATAATGAGGCATTCTTCCCTGGGGTTCATTTTCGGATTTCTGGATTTAATCCAGAGTGCCTCGAGAGTTTTTCGCGCCTGTGTTCTTGATTCGCGTGCGAGGATCGTGATACACACTTCGAAGTCGTCCCCGTTATGTCTCTGGGTCCTAATAATTTAGTAAATCCCCAATTAGATAAGTAAACAATTCTCACCATCTCTGATATAAAATCCTAATGGTTTGTTGTTGTAGAATTTACACAATCTCACTCTTCGAAGCTCATGCGGTAAAACATCTGCGTCCAAAATCGATGAAACCTAAATATACAGACATTTTTTTTCATAGTGGGATTTTCCACTATTCTCTCTTCTTATTAAAAGGGATATCTTAACAGTCATTCAAGTAAAAGCTCTAAGCGATACTTCCACAATAATAGATTACGCTAAGATACAATATAGCGAAATATCGATCTGACCGGTGTAAAAAATTCTTTTGAATCAAAGTTTGAAATCATTCGAACAAATTCCTTACGCGTCGAAAGTCCTGTGGTGCTGATATAGAGATTTTTCGTTTCTTTCTTATTAGGACCTCTTGAGAAACACCGTAACCATATTGCTCTTCTAGTGATTCTCCTTTATGTTGTACAAGAAGTCGTAGTACTCGCCCTCGCGTTTCCAGTGCTTTTTTCAAATTCTAGAAAACAGTTTTTGGTTCTAAGCTGATGAAATTGGCGCCTGAATGCCTTAAAACCCAATGTTTGCTGAGCAGAAGTGGAAAAAATTAAAACCCTATGTTTGCGGTCTGATTTGAAGAGCTAATGATACCTCGTGTGGTACCATTAGGTCCAGTGAGCTCTATCCAAGGAGACTGTCCAAAGTTATAACATCTTCATTAAAATAGGTGGCTACAATACTGAACATTTCTAGAAACTTACAACGATCTCAATAAATATTCATTCGGTAGATGGCTACTAATATTAAGAGGCTGAATTAGGTATGATCAAGTAAAAATGAAAAGAAAAACTTGAAACTCCCCGAACATATAAGGTGGTCTTTATATACTAAGCTCTTTTTTGCCGACACGAAGTGCAATATTACAACAGTCGAAAAGAAATTCTACTCGAGATTTTATCAACGGGATCCCATTATTAAATCCTAGAGATTATCTTCATTATAATATTTATTTTGTTTCTATTTTATTTGATCCGTCTTCCCGTCTACTGTGCGGATACTAGCATTTCTCACATTCGATTTGTGTCCTCGCATCTATCGTCCACGGAGGTCCCCCAAGTTTTGCTGTGTGCCCTTGGTTGCTGCTTGAGGGTTTTCATTTCATCTTGAATATCGTAGAATACTGGTCGAGCAATTATCCCTGGAGTCCTGAGATAGCTGGGCTGAGTGTTTCCAATTGGATTGCAGAGAGTGATTTTTTTCCCAGACAAGTCCGGTACCAATTTCCCGACTCCGGAGGGATAAGAGGCTTGGTTGGCCCATAGCGTAGTCGAACTAGCATCATGGTCGTGATGACGGACATCACTACCACTGTGCTATCCGCCATGGGCGACCTGGTCAGGGAAAGGTGTGACCAGCTAGTGCAAGATATGCACTCGTAGATGGAAGTGATTCTCATTGTTAACCACTAACATATTGTAGACTGGAATTCATGAATTAACAGTGTCGATTTTATCACGAAATTTAGTATTAAGGACGAAGATAATCAGCTCAAACCAGCCGCCCATTTAATTCTCGTTAACTCAGGCTACGTTTATATCGGATTCAACCACCATTTGTGTTTACTGTAGTGCCTGGGCGCCGCGGATCTCCCTCATCTCGTGTCGGTTGGCCGCCACAACGTGGCGTGTCCACAGGTGGAGGGTAAAAAGACTCCCCGTTTCTACTGAGCCGATTTGGCACATACACTCTTTATTTACGAAGACCCAAATTAAATAGGCAGTAAATAAAAAGGTTAAGATTGTGATTATAACTATAGCCTCAGCTCAATTGGGTCCGATGTCGATTTGGGCTCCCCAGATCAATCCCGTTCACGGGTGATTGCTGATGGTGATCGATAGAACTAGCTGAGAGACAGGCGAAACGAGGCACCCTTATGATGTGGTGGTGAAGGCGTTGGCCCCGGAAAGGATAATATCGCGTCCGTTCTTGTTCCTGTGCTTACGCTGTGTTCTACAAGCCCTCGAACGCCTGTTGGCGTGTTTGTTTCCACTAATGCCTTCAATTCGTCGTCGCCAAGTTCACTGGGACGTCAAATGCCTTCCTTATCTTCAATACCGGTGTGTACACCCAGCCCCCACGCTCAGAGCTCAAAAAGCTATACGCGACTAAAAAAAGTTAAACACAGGAAAGTAAACGGGCCTCATTCCCCAGACCCCGAAAAGACACCCTATTCGGCAGCGTTAAGCAGGACGACTACGGAGAGGCTGCTAAAATCTCAAGGCCACTCTGGGTTTTCTAAATCACAAAGGGCTAAGGTGACGACCCGTACCTACAGTGCACGCTGAGCCCTCGATAGAAGACTTGGTCATGCAAGCAGGAAGGAGAAGGTTAGGATGTCATCGGATTGGCTGATTCGAGAATACGTCGTTCATTCAACGCCGTCTATGCCTTTAGAGTTTATTAAAGGGATGATAGGTGACACAGGTGATACAGGTAGTGTGTGGACTGGGCTCTAACAAGTTCCTTACTATTATTTAAAACTAATGAATAGGAAGTCACATTCGATTTTTTCATCAAAAATACCAATGAAAGTCGACGAAGTCACGTTTTAGATGAATTTTTTGCTGGAAACATTTTTTGATGAACGTTCTGGAAACCCCAGTTGAAAAACAGATACTAACTAATTATACCTATCAGATATCATCGGATACGAAGCAAAACCTGAATTTTTACGTCACTATTCGAAAAAAACAATAATTTAGTTAAACAATTAAGAGAAACGAACGCGCTATTACCCTTTCCGGGGGATAACGCGTTCACCACCACACCGTGCAGGTCCTTCGTTTCGTCTGTTTCTCAGCTAGACCTGTCCACCGCAGACACCTGC